GTGCTGGCAGCCTTGCAACTGGCACAAACTGTGTAGCCAGCCCGTGGCCCTTTAAGGGCTCCGGGGCCGGGAGGGGGGCAGTAGAGTTTGCCTGGTGTTGGCCAGAGTGGCCACCAGGGCAAGCTGGGAAGGGCTAGCCTCCCACTAGTTTGAATTAAGGGTCTACACAGCCCTTAATTTGAACTAGTAAGTTTGAACTAGGCTTAATCCTCATGGAATGAGGATTACCTAGTTCGAACTAAGCACTCCGTTAGTTCGATTTAAATTCGAACTAACGGAGCGCTAGTGTAGCGCCTATGAAAGTTAGTTCGAACTAACTTTGTAGTGTAGACATACCCCCAGAGAGTAGCAGTGTGGGTGGACGGGGGATTACTTGCTTGGTTGGCTGAAGGAAAACATGGCCCAAGGAAATGGAAAAGGAAGGGTAAAATAAAGTAGGAATGATGGAAGACAATAATTGACTTGCTTGTTTTTGACACTCTGGGTTCAATGAATTCAAGTGTGTCCTACCACCCTCTTATGATTAGTCCCTCTTGCTATTGGGGAAAACAATTGTAATGCATGTTGTGCTTTAATTGGCCAAATATTCCAGGTGAGATGCTTAACAAGTTTCTCTGGGTTAGCAGAATGTGTTCAAGGAAAGGGAAGGATAAAACAAAGTGGCTGGCTGAGTGATCCTATGTGATTGAATAGGCACAGCGGAGAGGGAAATTGTTCAATTGGAGTGGGAAAGTGTGCTCTGAGGAAGCCTAGAATACCCAGATGCTTGTCATCTTCACTTATTGTCACCCACCACACTTGCCACAGTTTAGAGAATGCAGTATGTGTGTAAATGCTACATGGATGAAGCAGGTAAATGTAGGAGACTAGCAAACAATTTTGGCCATGGTCTTTAGTTTAGCCGTATACCAAGGTCAACCAGTCTTTGGAAAGGAATTAAATAGACTTTTCCCTGCTAGCAGTCAGATGTAAGTAAATTAACATTTAAGTGTAAACATTTGTTGTATGCATGTACAGACCTACTTAAAAGTACATGGTACTCAGTATGGTCTGACCTAATTCTGAATCGTTCATTGACCTTGTTATATAAAACTAAGCGCCCCTTTTATAGGGAGAGTAACAGTTTACGCTGCTGAATATTTATTTAGGAAATTTAGTCTTCTGGGTATTCATACCCTAATTCCAGCGCTAAGTGCAATCACACCATTGATTTTCCTTACTAAACATAACCTACTTTACTCCTGAAAAGTATGCTTCTTTAAATGGGTTTTACATAATAGTAGATGGAAAGGCCACTCATCCTAATGTCCAATATTTTAGCTGAATGGTTGAAAGAGCAATTTGTAACTCCTGAGGAAATTGTAACTGAATCAAAATTCAAATGTTGTGAATCCAATTTCAACTGATATTGTACCATTTCAAAACTATTTTCAAGTGGAAGAGGCCCAAAAGGTCGAAGTGAAGGGTTTTACATATTTTTTCCCTATGTATGATTTGAGCCTTTAAACAGTGGGTGTTCTTCACATTTTAATTTCAGAGGTTCTATCAAATTTCAATGCCAAGACAGCTGATTTTTTTTAATCAAGGATTTATAAAAGATTTGTTAAAGTTTCATAAATAGTCAAAGGAGATCTGTTAGAATACCTGATTTTTCTGTTTGGTGATGAATTGAAGAATTGGGGAAGGGGCAGGAAATGGTTTCAGATAAATCCAAAATGAATTTGTGAGGGTGTTGTAATTGACTACTATGCACTGCATGCATGCACAAACATGTACACGAATCCAACTTTTGTGAGCTCTAGAGAGAGGAACTGTATCAGTGGCAATGCAGATGGATAAGTCTCTTTCATTCTTGAGGTCCTGTAATGCAAATTGACTGTCACTGAAATTAGAGTAATACATTTTGCACTTTGGAGAATCTTCAATCACTTTATAAACTCACTTTAATTGAACCTGACAACATCTGCTGTTGATGTTATTTGAAGCATAGGATGAGATCAACTAACGTGTCCAGGATGACACAGCAAATCCATGGCAGAAATGGAAAGACAGACCCCAGAGCTAATCAATGAATTATTTTCTTTGTATAGTAAAGTTTTCAAAATAACATTTTCTTAGAATGGCATGATAGAGAGAATGAGAGGACTCACAAGACAAAAGGCAAGAAAATGAACTCTTTAATGCCCCGGAGTTACAAGTATATCAGAAGCAGGGAAGCGGGTTGCTTTAAAGCCGTGGTCCCCAACGCGGTGCCCGCGGGCGCCATGGCGCCCATGGGGGCATTTGCATGCGGTGGCACGCCACGCACGGGCGCCGGGTGTGCGGCGCTCAGGCGGCCCCAGCCCCGGGGCACATGTGGGCGCCGGTGCTGGCCCTAGGCACGTGGTTCGGGCGGCGGCCCTGGCCCCAGGCCCACGGCACAAGGCACTCAGATGGCCCCGGCCCTGGGGCACATGCCGGCACCGGGTGCAAGGGCATCCCCGCCCCTGGCGTGCCCCAGGATGCGCGGCTCCACCCCCCGGGTGCCTGGCGCGTGAGTGGCCCCACCCCCGGGCACCCGGCGCGAGTGTGGCCCCGCCCCCGAGCGCCCGGGAGCCCGTAAAGGTTGGGGACCACTGCTTTAAAGAGCTGCTACTGAAATTCACTCCAGTGTAAAGAGTTCATATGAGATTCCTACGATGTATCAAAGGCTATTTATGTACCACCTCTTATGTTGTAGGGATGTTGGAGTATAACTGATTAAATATTTAAGACATAACCTAATGCTTCTTTATTGGTTAATGCTCTCAGTTACACTCAGCCAGCTTCTGGAGCAGTGGCTTCACTCTGGCAGGGCAGCGAAGCCAACTCCCCAGGACCAAGCACAACATAACTGCCTCCCTGGGAGCCAAGCTGGCAGGGTCTTGCAGCCCTGCTCCCGGGAAGGCTTTAATGCAGACTGTACAGTATAAGTAAGCTTTATACTGCAGAAGTTACAGCATAGGTAACCATTTAAGCCCTGAGATTTTCAGTGGTTATACAGTTACTTTTTACATTATTTTTAACATCCCTATTATATTGGTATAACTCATGTCACTCAAGCATATGAATAAGCCACTCTCTGACCAATGCAAGTTATACCCATCTCAGCGATGGTGTGGACCTTTCCACTGCCGCTTATGGGTGTTGTCCTAATTAAGTTAACAGAAGTGCTTTCTTCCATCAGCTTATACCACCTGCACTAGCAGTGCTACAGCAGCACTTCTGCTTTGCCACTGCAAACCCTGCAGGATAGCTGTAGCCTAAATGTGGATTCCTAGGACTCTGAGTGTGTCTCCCACATTGGGGCAAAATTCTAGTTACATGAGGAATGTTTTCAGAATTAGGGGAAAGAATCCCACGTATGCCTTTTTCTACAATCACAATTGTCATAAATCTCCCCCGGGGAACCTGTCTTTCCCAAAAAGCTTCACAACATGAAGATGCCATGATCATGATTGTCCCTTCCAGCCATAAAGTCTGAACCTATGGAAGGAGATGTAGTTAATTTATCCATTCAATAAAATTAAAAGTCTGCTGTTGGTTGACAAAGCACAGGTCTGCATTAATGTTATCCCTCCTGCTTTCTTTACTAGTTTCAAATGGATTTAAAAACACCCTTAATGCTTTTCTTAATGCTGATGTATTGAATTTTTCTGTGCTGCATTAGGAAGGTCATAGTCATGAATTATCCTCTTCTAAATATTTCACAATCGCTGCTCCCAACAGGGCCAAGGTGAAGAAGGGAGTGAATATTCTTAGTGCGAAGGCCAGTGATCCCCGGCAATGGGATGTGAAGCAGGAAGTGGGGAATGGTGGAAAACATTCAACTACAACAGTTAGCTGTCAAAGGATAGCACCAAATTCAAGGAACAGGTAAGAATGCTCATGTCTACTCAGCCTTAAACTCATTTATAGCCACAATGTCATCCACTGCTTGAAAGACTGAAGGGTCATGTTAAATACTGTGCCAGTTGAGCTATTAAACCTTAGACCCTGGAAATCTGGAGATACTTTCGTTTACTGTAGTACCATGTGATCATTTATAACTGGGCATCTCACTTTTCAGACAATGAAACTCCTCAGATTAAACTGAAAAGCATAGATTAGAGCTATATATTTCGTCACAATGAATGTCTTTTAAAGGTTTTTACGGAGCATAGATTTGTCTGGCTTGAGAGCTTTGATCTTGTTTTGGCTCTGATAGATTATTAAGTCATCAATGAACTCTTCAGTAATGAGCTTTGCTAACTCATAGGTATTAGTGTGGGATCATGCAAAACATTTAGTATTGACAGTGTTCAGTATAACAGAAAAAGTTTGGAGAGTTGTTTGGATTTTGGGGAGGGATGAAGAGGGTATGTGAACTATTATTTTTCCCTGGATTTTTTCTGTCATGAAGTCCTTTGCATCTGGTTGGGTCACTCTGAAATACACCAGAAAGAGAAGTCTGCCTTTCTTCTCATCATCAGAAGTAAAAACTTACAGATACTGAGTAGATGTGAAAATGCAGAGAAACCAGATAAAGTATAAAAGCTTATTCTCTAGGCCATAAGCCAACTACTAACTGCCTGGGCATAAGAAGAAATCCACATTGTGTCCAGTGCCATGTTTCTTGCACCTTTTATTGAAGCATGTAGTAATTAGCCACTGTCAGAAATGGCTCCAGAGAGGACTGGTTTGATCAGAATGGTGATTCCTATATTTCTGTGTTGTATGTGTTAAGAATTAATTCTGTAACATACACATTTGACTGTTTCTCAGCTCCAGTCTTCTCCCTTTTTGGGCAATAAGAATTTCATTATAGACTACAAAGGAAGTTAGTTTGGATCTCATTGCGCATTACTTTAATGAATGCTTACTGCCCTCCTGTGTATTAGACCCTTGCTAATGTATGATCAATATTCAGGTTGAACCTCTCTAGTCCAGCACTCTCTGGTCTGGCAATGTCTGTGATCTGGCATGATTTTAGTTAGCTGGTTGTCTGCTTATCGTGGGTGTGACCAAGTTTCCCACTGTCCCATAAAGTTTGTTTATAGCTACCAGTCCCAGCTCTCAGTGTTCTGAGCTGTTATTTAGCTCTAATTTACCCATAAATGTCTTTTAAGAGCCCAGCAAGCAGTGGGAAGTGTTGGTAATATCGCTAGGCATAAGCTTGATTTTTATGCTTTATCTACTTATTTCCTTGTGCCAATGCCTTAAAATCATGTAACAACACCGATACTTTGTTGTGAAGAGAGCTGATCAGCCTTGGCTAGGCGTAGGCTTATATAGGGTGTATCAGTGCAGTCATACATTATTAAGCAGCACTGCAAACATTGTTCTATTTATTCGCCTCAGTGAAATACAAACAAAAAGAAACCCGCTCACTACAAAATTGACCTGTCATGGTTCAGCAAATTCTCTGTTTTGGCACTATCAGGTCCCAGAGGTGCCAAACTAGAAAAGTTCAACCTGAAAACCATGCGATGCTTGCTTGGTTGGTATTTCATGACTAGTCCAAATCTTAGCCCAGAATTGTGGCAGGTGGATTATCATCAGTCTAATCAACTTTTAGTTGGTTTGTGACATCCCCTGCAATTGGTCTGATGATTTGTGCACTACTCCTTCAGGCACAGGGGAGTCCAAGGAAGTTGTAATCATGTTTTTACTTTGCTCCCAGACAATGACAGTGCATAGCAAATGGTAGACTTCTATAAATTGTCAAAACATCTGTTGCCACGAGCAGCTTACTGATTCAATCCATCTATGGTAGACATCACTGCAGTTAGTGGTATTTGTAATAAAGAATTTGCAGGGAGAAAAGGAAGAATAAATCATTTAAGCCTGACAAATAAGGATTTTAAAAAAATGTTGAAAAGCAAAACAGGGTTTTGGAACAAGCATATAATGCCAAAGCCGAATGTAATTACAGCTGTGGAAATATAATAGTCAGGTTATCAAAACCCAAATTAAATCTTTTTAATCCAATTTGCATCACATCTAGTTAACCTATAAAATATTTTAACAGTAATTATTCAAATAAAAGTGAATGTGTTAATTAACACCTCTTACATTTGAGAATGTAAATATCCCCTTTGTTTTGAAAGCATGACTGGACTGGAATTGAATGAAACGTTAATGCATTAGGAAGAATTGGATAGACAGAAACCTTGATGCCATTAGCTCTCCAACCACTGTGGAAGTATATACCAGCTAATGTACTGAAATACAGCTTTTACGACATGAAGCTGTATTAATGGGATTTCCTCCCTGAACACAATAATGAATGCCAACTAGCTGTCTCTGTACTGATTTTCCATGGGAGGTGGATACTGAGTGATGGACCTTATGGTTGTTATTGAGTGTAATTAGGAGCCCTCTTGGTGCAAAGGACAAATATTCTCTCAAGCTAATTTAATTTGGCTCAGGATTGTAGGCCCCTAATGGCTTCTTTCTCAATTGCCATCATTTTTTTCAAACTAGTGTAGCAGTGTAGTGTGTACAGCATAAACCGTTCTGTTGTGTGAGGTCAGATTAGAAAATGTGGGGTTCTGCTTGGGAGTTTCAGCTTCAGTGTTCTTTAAGCTTCTCCTGCCAAAACTCTATCAACTCATAAACTTAGTTGAGCAGAGAAAGATGTTTTCCACTGTCTATGCAAAAGGGCTGTTAAAATGAAGCAAATAAAGATTTTTATTTCTCATACACTTTACGAAAATGAGATCCGTTACACAGCTCGTTGTGAAGATAATAGCCAGATGCACAGTGTAGTGTTTTCCCACCTAGTCCAGTAAAGCTCAGAGAATTAGTTTAGCAGGGAGAGAGAATGAGAGGCCTTTGACAGCTGTACAGTCTTCTCCAACTTTGCAACTAAAAGAACAATTGGTTCTCTCCTTGGATTGTTTCGCAGCCCCGGTTTGGTAGATCTATCCTGATTCACAGTTAAGGTTGTCAGTTTTGGTTGAACATATTTCTCATAATCTTTAGTTAAAGATTCATTTTTAATTCCTGGAAATTCCAGGACAATCTGGGCTGGCAACCCTATTCAGTGCAGCTCAGCGTACTACTGAAATATAGTCTCATGAAAATTTTTCTGCTCCAGCAAAATGAGATTGCATCCTCGGATTCCCTGTTGTCCATAGTGTTTCTTTGCCAAATCGTGATGATGTGACATAGAATGTAGGTGCTGCAATGACTTCATGAAGCACACAAAATCTGCCCTGCTTGCCTGTCTCCCATGCAGACCCACCACCTGTGTGCCTAATGCCCTCTGGCTCTACGTAAACAATAACTACAACCATGAGTGGGTGTATTTTATTCCTATTTAAATGTATGTACCGTGAACCCTGAGAATTTAAATAAACTCCATGTTCCCAGCTCTGTAAACTTATATTCTGAAACACACCCCTCCCCCGGGCAATTGAACATTACCTTCAGCTGATAAAGAAAGATTCCACCATTAAAACAGAGTGATTTTTTATTGCCAGGAGAAGTACTAAACCAATATTGCCTGTGTGCCCGATAACATAGCCTATGTTGAGCTCCATTTGACTTGTGATTAAGATAACAACTTATTGATTAGGGGGAATGGAGCATAAACAACTCCTTTTGCAGTTCATGTCCCTTGTCGGTTCTCTTTTCCAGGGGACTGTTGGCTGGACTGAAATGTGTCCGTGAAAGATTGATGAGCAGATTTTTGTTCTTGTCTTAGCTGCTTAACTGTCCTGATCCTGGTGCAGCTTTTCCCTGCCATTCTTCACACCAACTTGGGGCCAGTTTAAGGCCTTCCCCTCCTCCCTGGGAATAGCTTCAGTTTAGAAGGGGGACAGATGGGAAGCCCGCTCTAAGTTGCCTCCCCAGCAACCCCAGACACAAGTCATTCCAGGACAGATCAGGGAGTGCAAGATGGAGCAGCAGCAGAGGAGAAGAGACCGAGAAAACATGAAAAGGGACATAGTTGGGGAAGCCTGTGTGCTGGAGAATCTGTCCTTCTGAAAGGCCCCAGAGGGACCACTGCAGCCAGGATGCAACACAAACTTGATAAGGAAGCTGATAGAGTTCCAGAAGCTCCTGTGCAAGGCAGATGAAAACTGCCTCCCTTCTGCCCCTGTGCTGAGATCTGGGCTGTGGAAAGATGAATTTGTTCCATTCTTTGTGTTTGTGTGCAACCATGTGTTTGTGTGTAAGCTTTGTGTCAGTGGTGGCAAGAAAGCCACTCAATGCTCTCAAGGGAGTCCTACTTCATTGTCTAATAACACATTGGTTGTGTATCTAACTGGGGTAGAGAAGGCAAGTGGGGGAGAATGGAGAGACTTGTTAGAAAAACTGACCTGATGGAAAACTGCTGCTATGTAACACTTCATCCCCTTGGCCCTGAACCTTTGAAGGACCTATGGACTTAGCTCTTCCCACTGTTAGGCTCACATATCAGACTGTCAGTTATTTAGTCCCTTCCCCTGATGCACACACATGTCATCTGAACAGTTTGAGAATCCCTGCAGTCATACCGAATACAGTGAGGATGTTACTGAGTTACATTTCATATCATCAGGACTGAGAGGAAACCAACAGAGTCATTAAAATTCTCGGCAGGTCCTTCCCATCAATCAGCATCATATGATGCCAAGTGACTCAAGCATGAAACAAAAATGCTCTTGTGATTAAAAAAAGGAGAGGGTGTGAGCAGAGTGTTTCAAAGTAGTAACATATTGGGTGGTAGTTTGTGTTTCTGGCTTTATATTTCACCTGGAGTCATTCAGTCACCTCCAAAACACACACACCCTCTCACAAACCATGGTGTTATTTTAGAGCCTATAGTCTCTGTAGTCTGCACTATTTGTGATCAATTAACCAGGAATCTCCCAAACCTCAGATGCCTGGTGATAGTGAATCAAGCC